GGCTAGGGCTGTCGCACCCACAGACAGCGACCCAGGGCATAGACAGGTGTCCAATTCAACAAGCATAGGGTTGAGGCTCGGTGCGGAGCCTCGGAGCGACGGGCCACCACGAGCTCTAGCTCCCAACGTGCTGCACCCCACTGTCGACAAAAGATGCTCGACAGTCCACCGAGGGGTATCCCACGATGGTAGATTTGTCGGTGGGGGTGCACGTAATTAGGAACAGGATGGTGACACAGGACACAGAGATAGCGATTTAGACAGGTTCGGGTCGTCTGATCGACGTAATACCCTATGTCCTATGTCTTTGGTGTATTGTATTGAATATGAGATGTATGTAGATGTCGACTAGGGGACCCCTGCCTCTCCTTATATACTCTGGAGGGGTAGGGTTACAAGGAAAGTGTCCTATTTGGTACTATACAATATCTTGCGGTGCACGTCGACCAGTGTCGTGCACGCCTTAATCTTATAGGCTGGGCCACCTCTGATGGTGCGGCCCATGTCTTCTCTTATAGATACCGGGGGTCATATCCCCCACAACTAGGACCCGAGCACCTTGTATCCGTTGTGTAATGTCATCTTGAGCTTGTTCGAGCAGGTGCGAACAAAGCCGAGCAGCCAAACTCATGGTCCGACCACCGTGATGAGTTGTCGAGCAGTTGTGAACCGTCACCGAGCAGCGTGAACTATCGCTGAGTAGTGTGAACCATCGCCGAGCAGCGTGAACCATCGCTGAGCAGTGTGAATCGTCGCCGAGCAGTTGTGAACCGTCGTCGAGTAGTGTATCCCAAGTACGGCTTGCCATAAGGATGTAAGGAGCTCAAGTTCAAAATCTGAAAATTCTTCGACTTAGGAGAAGTGTAGCCACTTAGACTCTGTCAATAAGGAGGGTAAATCAAGAAATAAGTACTACATTCACCGTCAAGTGAAGTGTAGCCACTTAGTCCCCGAGCCTGCTAGAAGATGAAGAATGAATCTTGTAGCAGGGTCAAAGAAAAGAAGTATGAAAGCTTGAGACGTCATCTGACATGCGCGTATCATGACCCCTGACGTGCTGCCCAAGATCAGCACCCTGATTCGAATAGCATGGAGCAGCTTGATAGCACGCCGATGAGACATAGCAAGAATCCGAGCACCGAGGAATCCCCGGCGTAGCTGGCGATGTCCGAGCACCGAGGAGTCCCTGGCGTAGCTGGCGATGTCCGAGCACCGAGGAGTCTCCAGCGTAGCTGGCGATGTCCGAGCACCGAGGAGTCCCCGACGTAGCTGGCAATGTCCGAGCACCGAGGAGTCCCCAGGCGTGGCCGGCGATGTCCGAGCACCGAGGAGTCCCCGCGCATGGCTGGCGATGTCTGAGCACCGAGGAGTCCCCGGCGTAGCTGGCGATGAAGCACGAGCGACGAACAGTCCGGTCAACTGGTCGGCGGCGAGGTGAGCATTGAGTAGAAGCGACCAGCGAACAGTCCAATCAACTGGTCGGCGACGAAGTCCATGAACCTAGTGGTTTGACCAATTGATCGGTGGAGAAGTCCGAGCACCAAGTGGTCCAATCACCTAGATGATGATCCTGCAATACAAATATGTAGAACAGATAGTACATGATGTAAAAATATATGAACTCCAGAGAAGAATCAGCAATGGTAATGAAATAGCATATGCAACTTGGCGATCAGTTGGTGTGAACACTTAGTGTTATTCTGAAGATGTATTTATATTTAATATAGACCGCCCGACCAGTTAGTGTGTAGCTGAGTCTCCAGCCCTAGCTAGCCCGTTAACCGTAACGCGGAGCGCGGAGCCCGTGTGCGTGTAGGAAGAACAAAGCATCGCTAAGGAGCCGCTGCCGACCACCATAACGCAGACGGTAGACGCTCGTGCATGTGTAGGGAGGAGCCGAAGACAGGAGCGCCTTTGGGGACATCCGAGAGTCAACGTGACTGTTCGGGGGTTCGGAAAATCGTTTGGAGAGCAAACATGGAGAAAACAGCTCGGAGAAACGTTATGGCAATATACGAAGATTGGCGAATATTTAAAAGAATATTAAAGCGTGACTTAGCTTTAGACAGAATGTCTGGTCGGCGGCGTATGGCGTTATATGGTCGGCGACGCGGGCAGCTCGCTTAGCGGTTGGAACGAAGTTGATCTCGTGTTGGAGTAGGACGAACGTAGTCGGATCTTGGTGGTGTCAATCCGCGTACGAAGATGTGCGCCGTGGTTGTCGAAGGATGTCGACGTGATCCGCATTGTTGCCGCGAAGGATGTTGATCTTGAGTTATGCCATCTGGTTCACCAGGGATCAGCCCGCACGAGCCCCACGGTGGGTGCCAACTGTCGACAAAAGATGTTCGGCAGTCCATCGAGAGGTATCCCGTGATGGTAGATTTGTCGGTGGGGGTGCGCATAATCAGGAACCGGATGGTGACACAAGACGCAGAGACAACGATTTAGACAGGTTCAGGCCGTCTGATCGAAGTAATACCCTACGTCCTGTGTCTTTGGTGTATTGTATTGAATATGAGATGTATGTAGATGTCGACTAGAGGACCCCTGCCTCTCCTTATATACTCTGGAGGGGTAGGGTTACAAGGAAAGTATCCTATTTGGTACTATATAATATCTTGCGGTGCACGTCGACCAGTGATGTGCACGCCTTAATCTTGTGGGCTGGGCCACCTCTGATGGTACGGCCCATGTCTTGTCTTATAGATACCGGGGTCATATCCCCCACACCCACCAATCCACCACGAGCTCACACAGAACAATAGCCGGAGAACCCGACTTTGACATCGCGCCCCACTCATAGGACATGGGGTCCCAAGGGATGTCAGCCAACTAGGACATGGTCTCCACGAAGGCGGAATTGAGGGAACTAAACGAGGAGGCCCACTCTAGCTCCAATGACTGCTCGATGTCTCCGCCACCGGCACCTTTGGTGAGGGGACTGCTGGAAATGGATGGGTGACTTCCTGGTTGTGGGGCACAAGCTGAGCACCCCATGGAGGCTGAGCGAGCAGACGTCGAGTCGTCCACGATGTGTAGATTGGGTTGTCGCGATGACCTCCTGTGTGGCACCCCACGGCGACGGCCGAACGAAAGCGATAGTGGGGGACCTCACCTAGCCCTAGTAGTCGCCGCTTGAGAACAATCTCGGGCCCGGTAACCTTCACGCCGGCAGTTGAGGCATCGTGACAAAAAAGTGCAGGGCGCCTTGACGTGGTCGCTTGCTAGGGAGTTGAAGCATTGGCCTATGAGATTCAGAGGGACTAGCCTTGCTGGCCGTGGCGGCACCCGACGGCGCCCGCAACGGTGGTTGTGCACTTGGTGAAAGCCCATAGCATCCGGCTCCACAGACATCCTCGTGGGGTGGATGATGAGAGAGGCCAGGCGCCTCACTGGCACCGGCTCAATGCCTTGCGCAACGTCCATGGTCACATCAGATCAGCGGGGACGGCGATGCCCGCGCCTACGCCCGTGGCACCCCAGATCCACATCGGGGTCGGAGAAGCGGCGCCGATGGGTTTCGAGGACTCGCATTCTGAGTCTTAGGTGGGCTGGCACATGTTGTGCCACAACGCTCGCGACCTGGCTGGGACTTTGCTGCTGCGCCACCAAGACTGCCCTCGGCGGGCTAGCATGTTGGCGGCGGAGGGCGCCCGTCCTAGCTAGGGAGGAGGCCCCATGGCCACTGTAGGTGGTGCTGAAGGAGGCCACCATTGCCAAAGTGGCCTCCGACGAGCTAGGGATCCGCAGCTGCGCCGGGAACGGCTTCACGACCAACACTAGGTTGGGGTCTTCAAACTCACGGGGTGCTGGGTGAGGAAGGGAGAGATGGACCCGTCAAACGGTAGATCGGTCGGAGGTGGTTGCGGATCTGAGGTTTGTTGCTACAGGGAGGCTGGGAGTGTTGTGGATCTAGGAGGATTCATTGTGGGGGTGCAGTTGGGAAGACGGTGTGAAGGAGCGGGTCGGGGGGCTTCGGCTCCTCCATCAGCTAATCATAATATTTATAAGAACTATTATGATTTTTGCATTGGGAGTTTCGTAAGAGCAACTCTAACAGAGTTGGTAAAAATAGATGGATAAACTCATGATTTAGCCAACCTCTAAAATAGAAATCCCAGCAAAAAAAACAGAAAACTCCAATAGCTTTTCCATTTGGGTGAGGCGAATGGCTAGCGGCACATGCAAGCTATATCTAGCATGCGAGAATTCCGGGATAGATGATTTGTTATTTTAGAAAGCGAGATACAATAGCCGTTAGACTCTCTCTTTTTTTCTCCCAAAACTACTGAAATATAGATTATACAACATGGATAGCTGCTGTGTTGGAGTTGCTCTAACAAGCTATATAATATTTTGATTTTATAGCCCAGAAATGAAATCAAAGTCGTTTTTTTGTGAAACTAAATGGAATCAAAGTCGGAACAATGTGGAAGGTGCAACGTCGTGTAGAAATGATTTGGTTAGAAAACAGAATTTGGCTGTCCACGTATAATAAATAAAATAAATGAATGTATATAGCCCTGTGGGCTGTGGTATTCCGGATCGGGCCCAAAACATGGTCCACATGATGAACAAAAGCAATATATGCGGTCCATTGGACTGTGCCGTATGGTGGGCCAGCCCACGTGGTAAGAAGAACTCCACGGTCGTCTACGGCCCAAACGCACTGCGAGAAATGGCCCGGAACTTTTATTTAGAATCTGAAAATCCACTGTATTCCGTAATTTCCGTAATCCGGAAGAGATGAAAAACAATAATTTATGTCGCTGGTCTCCTGAAACTCATGAAGATATTGATGCGTGCGTTCTGGTGAAAGATCTTTCATTTTGAGCAGCTGAACTACGAATGCTGAAAAGTTTACAGTACAACCTGACACAATGTTTTCAAGCCGACCCAAAACAAAACGTCACAGAGAGTAATAATGAACTGTCGGTTCCATGTTTCCAGCGGATAAATATTGTCCAAGCTGAATTATCAGTTCCGTACGTCGTCCATCAGGCGCTAATGGTGCGGCCTCCATCGATGCAGATGACCTGCCCGGTGACGTAGGACGCCGCCGGCAAGCAGAGGAACGACACCAGGGACGCCACCTCTGTCGGCTCGCCAGTCCGCCGCATCGGGATGCGTGACAACTCTTGTTGCACCACCGCTGCCGGTAGCTGTATGCGTTGATATGTTAGGTTGTACTCGTTACAATTCTAAAATACTTTCTCTGTCCATAAAAGAATACAGTTATAGGATCCGCGTCAGTCAAATTAGCTCAAGTTTGATAAGTTTATAAAAAAATGATATTAACATTTATGTATCTTGATAAATTTATTATAAAAATGTACTCTATAATTATTCTAATGATGTTTATTTTATATCAAGAATGTTCGTACTTTCACGGGCCACCGGAGGCTATATAGCAAGAGTAGACATATTACTGTGGGACCCACTAACTAAAAAAAATCCACAGCACGGCTACTCCCGACCACACACCGCACCAAGATTCCCTGAACTGGTGATGGATGTGACTGAAAACAGATATAGATGCTTGCTTCTTTTAGCTTCCTGCTTAGTCGATCCTCAAAGTCCTTGCATCCTTTTCGACAACATTATGTTTGATAGATTCTGTCGTTTAGACCGCAAGAAAATATATACTTACTCTCTTCGTCTAAAAACAATGTTATTCTAGATTTTGGCTAAGTCAAACAATGTTAAACTTGAATGTTCATAGAAAATAGTATCAGCATTTGTACCCCGAAGAATTAAAAATATATTTCATTATATATCCAATAATACTTATTAAGCATCATAAATATTAGTACTTTTTTATTTGTAATTGCTAAAGTTGAGATGGATTGACTCCTAAAACAAGAACCTCTTTAGCCATGTCTGTCATGATCACGCCAGGTGCGACGCAGTTCACACGGATCTTATCATGGGCCCACTCAGTAGCAAGGCTCCTCGTCAGCTGGTTCAGTCCTCCTGCATAAACAATCATGAATGTAAGGGCAACCCAAAGATATATAAATTTATGCATATGTGGACACTAGAGTGAGACCAAAAATGATTTGGAGTTTTTATTCTAAAATGACAAGGTTTAGATGTGCCCTTATCATAGTGTATGATGAGTAATTGTTATGCACATTCAGTCTTTGTAGTTAAGCTGTTATTGCTTATGACTAATCAACCAGAAGCAAGCTCGTGGTGTTGCAAACATGTCTTTTGGCTTACGATTTGCAGGTGTTAAGCGTGTCATGGCTGTCCATGGCGAAGGCGAAGGTGAAGCGAGGGATTCACGCCGATGCACCACAGTCAGTGAAGGATGAACACAGAAGCTTGGACCAAGGTACCGAAAGTTGAAGGATAGACCTTGGGTAGCTACTTCGCAAGCACATGGGCACGACAACAAGAGCAAGTAGGTCCAAATTCCTTGGTTCATTGGGAATTTGTTTTTGGCTCCATTCATCCCGTCTCTAGTTCCCCTATTTTGTCCTTTCATTTCGAAAGGACGTGTTACGTATGTACTATCATTTTTCCAAAAGAAAACTGTCACGTACCTTTGGTGACGCTGTAGAGCGTTTCCTGTGGGAAGGCCAGGAAGCTTGCGATGGAGGATATGTGGACGACGCTTCCCCCGCCGGCGACGGAGGCGTTCCGGAGGAGCGGGTGCGCGAGCTGGCTGAGGTGGAAGCACGACTCCAGGTTGGTCGCCATGATCCGAGAGTAGTCCTCCGCCGTGTACTCCCCCGGCGGCTTGATGATCAGCAGCGCCGCGTTATTCACCTGTACGGGCACTTACTTCGCCGTCAAGCTGCGGTTGATCGATGGGATTCCCGGAGCCGGAGGAGACGCAAGGTTTCACCTTCAGCTTACCAGGATATCGAGCTTGCCGTCGAAGGTCGCTTTCACTGTCTCCATGAGCCTCTCCCGGTTGGCGCGCACGGCCACGTCGCAGACGGACACGGTGACGTCGAACCCCTTCTCGGCCCACCGCCGGCGGCACTCCTCCAGGTCCATCGTGCTGCGGGCGCACGCGTGCACCCGTGCGCCGAACCCGGCCAGCTCCTCCACGATCGCATGCCCGATCCCCTTGCTGCCACCGGTGACCAGAGCTGTCGCGCCGGCCAGGCTCCACCTCTCGCCGCCGGTCGCCGCTGCCATCCTCCGTTTTTGTGTATGTTGTGTGTTCAACTTCAACAAGTACTAGTAGTACAATGTTGCGATGCGAGTGACAAATATAGTACTAATAACTTGAGCCTATTTTGTCATTGCAGTGACAAATAATCTGAGCCGGACTAAACACCAACTGATACTACAGCAGTGCTATTGAGGTGATCTTTTGTGTTCGACATCAACTTAAGAATAAGTGGACCACAATAAGTGGACAATATGTGGACCACAATAAGTGGACAATATGTGGACCACAATAAGCGTGTTTAGTCCACTTATTGCTAATATCAGTTGACAAGCAAGTGTGTTCAAATTTATATAGATTTATTCCAAAATTTAATAGTGTTATTTCTTTTTGTCATATAGATGTTAGACTTTGACATCAAGACATCTATGGTGACTTTGTTAATTTTGAAATCTAATGACATAGTTTTTGGAAGGTGTTGCTAGAGGTATGTTGTGTACATGCATTCAAAGGAATGAGTATGCGTACTTGGATATAATTGTCAGTCTCGGAGGCCTGGCCTACAGGCCTCGGATGACTGCGTTCTTTGCGCGCAATGTCCGGAAATGTTGGAACACATCCTGTTGGGGTGTCTTTAGAAGGGAAGTCTGGTTCCAGGTACTTCGAAAGCTTCGTCGTTCGTCAGGAAAACTTCTTTGTCTAGTGGTTGCGGGCTAGGAAACTGTTACCAAAGGCAATCTGAAAGGGCTTCGACTCCCTGACGTTCCTTATTTGGTTGGGTGCTTTGGAAGGAACGTAATGCTACAACCATTGGAGGACCATCGTCTAATTCAACAATGGTACTACTGCTCATCATCGCAGAAGCAAGGGAGTGGGCGGCCGCGGGATACTCCAGAATAAGGTCGCTGCTGGTGCTGCTTTGAGCAATGTCGCAACAGGTGCTCATTGGGTCTCAAATCCTTCTGGTAATGTAAACCATTTGGTATTGCACTGAGTACAGGTTTGGTAATCTTGGGAGTACCATCCTGTATTTGTAATCGTTTACAACCCTTCTTCTTCTTAATGAAAAACGTGCCTTGGCACGGTCACGAAAAAAAATAATTGTCAGTCTCCATGGACATCGAGGTAAATGGTGACTTCATCATTTTCGAGATGTGTCAGTTCTGTTTTTTGAAGATGCTCTTGTGGTGGGAGGGGGGGCATGGTGTGTATTTGTCCTTGTATATAAGGCCTTGTTTGTATCCTATGATCTTAAGTTTAGTTGGATAAAGTTAAAGAGCTAAAACTTTAGACCACTTTAGTTACTTATATGGTCTAAAGTTTTTTAGAGATTAGCTAAACTTTGGACAACACTTTGGATCTCCTGTTTGGAGCCACAAGAGTTAAATGTGGTCTAAAGTTTGTGACTGAACTTTAGATCATGAGATCCGTACAAGACTTAAGTATGAGTGTTTGTACTGTCCAATTTGCTAGAAAAAAGAATCATAAAAATTGAGGCAGAAGTAGAAGCCCTAAGATAAATTTCGAAATTTCCCACATGTATTGTCCCAAAGTTTGAAATAGACAAAACCCAAAAATTTTGAAAACCTAAGAGCATCTTCAAGAGCCTTTTTTAAACTCATTCTCTAAATCAACAATTGGATAGCCATTTCAATGAAAATCGATGTATATATTTTTTTTCACTCTCCAACTGTTTCTCTATATCTTGTTCGTACTCTAAAGAGATAGCCTCACTCTTCATCTTTGAATTGCGAGAAATACTGAATATAGGATGACTATATTTGAAGACATAATTAAAGAAACTGTTGAAGATTACTTTTTTTAGCAGAATGAAAATTATTTTATTACCAACATATCTTTTTTTGAGTGGATATTTCCAACATATCTTCTCGTAGCAATTTGAAAAGATGGCTTTTAAAGTTGCTCCAAATCCCTAACACTAACCGGCCCTAAGCCCCTGAGGCGGAAGAATTAAGCCCCTGAGGCGGAAGAATGATAGAAAACGGAGCCGAATAACGGCCCATATGGTTAGCGGAGGCCCAACGCTCGTGTACGGCCCAAAACCACAGCCTATTTCCAGCGTGCGTTGGCATAGGATCTGGCTCGCTGTCTCTGTTCATGTCGGGCTCCTTCAGACTCGCGACGAGATATATTCAACTGTTCATGAACCCAAAGATTTTGACGACGCGTTTGTGGTGAAAAGTCTTTGTAGCTGTTGAAGAAATAACTCAACTCTGTATATATAGGCCCTCTTTGGCAGGGCTCTCTCTAGCTCCGGCTTCATGCTACAGTGCCAAAGGAGCCAGAGCCGGAGGAGCTAGAAAACATGGCTTCTTCAGACTCCTAGTTCATTTCGTGAGGAGAGAGGAAAACGGCTCCAACAGCAGCTAATTCAGGAGGAGCTGAAGCCCTTAGAAGCCTTGCCGAACAGGATCATACTCAGCTTGTTCACTGATTGGTTTCTGAGCTGATAAGCCCGACTAGTTCTGGTTTTTTGTGAGAGAAAAATATTATACCATAGCTGCTAAACCCTGACTGAAACCAACAAGCGAACAGACTGACTGACAAATCTTACAACGCAAATTTGACATGGTCATGTTTTGTATCCCAATTCCCAAACAAATTAAACGCCTGCCAGAAAGCAGTTGGCCCCACATTGATAGAATCTTCTCTGGCCGGCGGCCGGCGGCCATGGATCAGGCATTGATGGTCCGGCCGCCGTCGATGCAGATGACCTGCCCGGTGACGTAGGACGCCGCCGGCATGCTGCATTGGGATCCATGACAGCTCCTGCTCCAGTGCCCCCTCTGGTACCTGCATGTACATATGTTGTTATTATATATTACATTTCATACAAAATAAAATATTTACTTGTAATACTTTCACATATTTTACTTGTCCACAAATGTAATGCTGTCATAAATCAAAACTAGCAACCAGGTATTGTATTTTTGCTATGAGTAAAAACTAGCAACGGAACTCAATACATCTTGGAATCGTACAAATTATTCTAAATCGTATGAGTACAGATCATGAGTCGGTGTCACATGTGGAGCGCATAGGGCGTAAGGGAAGGTAGGGTTGTCAAATTGGATTTGGATTAGGTTTATTGACATGTGGAGTATGGACTTGAGTCCCGAGGTGAGTTTCTAGAAGCGTCCAAAAAACAAAATCTGTCTCTAATATTAGGTAGGTATAGGTATATAAGAATAGATTAGATTGGATGACAAAATATTTAAGGTTTATGTGGATTATTTATTATAGAAAAATAAAGAGTCAAAGATCTAAAATACTATATTTATTATTAAAATTTCTATTTATCTATACCTAATATTAATGAGTGTCGGCTCCAATTGACGTAGAAAATCGAACAGGGACATTTTTTAGAGCTGATGGCCGAAGCCGAGCCACTTTAGGATTATGTTGGACATAAAATAATTAGTGGCAGAAATTTTGGCTTTTTAACATTACTAGCAAAAATAATCGTGTGTTGCAACAGAACCTGATATATCTTGGAATCATACATTATACTATTGTTGGACGTAGTTGTTCTAACACTTATAAACACAGATCATGAGTTGATATCACATATATATGAAACATATAGGGCGTAATGGCTGGGTAGGGTTGTCATATCCAATTTTGATTAGGTTTCTTGACATGTGGATGTGGAGCATTAACTCAAGTCCTACGGTGAGTCCAAAGATCTATAATACTTTTTGCACAAAAAAGATCTATTATTTATTATTTATTTTTTCTATTTTATAAGAGAAAACAGGAGTTAAAGGGGGAAAAGAAAAAAGGTAACAGAACCAAGTAAAAACAGGAGATAAAAAAAGAGAAAAACAAAAGGTCACGGAACCATAGGTATATAGATATAGATTGGATTGGATGATAAATTATTTAAGATTTCATTCATGAATTATTTATTTTATATTATTATAAGAAAAAGGGAGACACAAAAAAAGAAAAGCAAAAACTCATGACACTATAGGTATATAAATATAGATTAGATTGGATGATAAATTATTTAAGATTTCAATTACGGATTATTTTTTAGATTAGATATGGATAAAAAGTTTAAAGACTCATTTGTACTATATTTTGTTATTACCATTTTTGTTTATAAGACGTATAAAAAGAGAACAAAACAGTCACGTAGAGAACTGAACGCGAGGAAGGTGAAACGGAAAAAACGAAAAAGGGACACGCGGACGGGAATGTTTCTATCTACGGAAAAACGGTTCCATCCGACCCAAAATTCTAAACGTGTCTATCGCGTAGAAGAAATAAACGAAAAAAACAAGTGGAGAGGGACACGCGGACGGAAACGTTTCTATCTTTGGAAAAAAAAGGACGATTCCATCTGATGGAGAATTTTGAACTTTTCTATCGCGTAGAAGAACGGACTCACAACTTTTCCATCGCCTAGAAGGACGAGACACTTTAGAATTACTAGCAAAAATGCACGTGCGTTGCAACGGGAGCACGAGACAAATAATTTATTGAATGATGTCAAATTTGGAGATGGCTTAATTTATCCTGTACAATATTACTTACTTTAACAGTGCTTAAACAAATCTTTAAATAAAAATAGGAAATTATAAGCACTGAAAATAAATTAAACTGAGACTTAATTGTTTGCTTA